CCGATATAAACTATTCCTACGAGGCGCTTAAGGATTGCTTATATTACTTTCCAAGCGATTTAGAAGGGTTTCTTTTTAAAAATGTTAATGACAAATGTTTAAATAAAATTATGATACTACACGTAAACATTCGAAGTCTTAATAACAATTTTGAAAAACTTTTAAACTTGTTAGAGGAAACAAAAAATCGTTTTAACATAGTTTGTTTAACTGAAACCTGGATTTCAAATAACATAAATAATACTTCGAACTTTTATATTCCTCATTTTAAATTAATTTCGTTTAAAAGACAAGTAAATAAACGCGGCGGAGGAGTCCTCATATATGTGAATGAAAATATTGTTTATTACGTTAGGAATGATTTAAGTGCTTCAGATAGCGATAAAGAAATTTTGACTGAAATTATGATTGAAATTATGAACAATCAATCTAAAAACATATTATTAAGCTGTTGTTATCGCCCACCTGACGGCGTGAGCGAGAACTTGAGCATTTTTTTTGAACAAAGTATTTTCAAAAAAGGTATTAAAGAAAACAAAAAGAACTTCATTATTGGAGACCTAAATATGAATTGTTTTCTTTATAATGAAGATAACAAAATTAAAAACTTTTACGACTCCTTTTTTGAGGCGGGAGCAATTCCTTTAATAAACAGGCCAACTAGAGTAACAAAAAACTCGACGTCTTTGATTGATAATATTATTACAACAGATATATTCAACAATAATATTCAAACAGGTATCCTAAAATCTGATATAACTGACCATTTTCCAATATTCTTGACAATTAATTCTGAAATTAAAAATAAAATAAACAAAATTAAAATCCGCATTTTTAACCATACAAATATAAAGTTGTTTAAAAACCAACTATCGTTACTGCACTGGAAGCATATTAACTTCAATGACAATGCAGACAAAATTTATGATAACTTTTATGAAACCTTTTACTCCGTTTATGACGCAAACTTTCCTATTATTGAAAAGACAATAACTCCAAAATATAAAAACAACCCCTGGATAACAAAAGGATTTAAAAAATCATCCAAGATTAAACAAAAGCTGTATATAAAATATCTTAAAACAAAATCATTAGATAATGAGAAAATATATAAAAATTACAAATATCTCTTTGAAAAAGTTCGTAAAAATTTGAAAAAAAATTATTACACAAGACTTCTAGATAAATTCAAAAATAACACAAAACGCAATTGGCAAATAATGAACGAAATTACTGGCAGACAAAAAAAATGCTCAGGTTCTCTTCCCCAGATGGTTATAGTGGATAACAAACGCATATGCGAACCAAAAGCTATAGCTCATGAGTTTAATAAATTCTTCACTGACATTGGTCCTAAACTAGCAAATAAAATTCCTTATACCAAAGCAACATTTAACGATTTTCTAGTACAGATGGATAATTGCATTAGTTCCAACGAATTATATTCTGAGCTAACTTTTTATGAATTCGAAAAAGCATTCAAATCCCTTAAAAAAAACAAAGCAAACGGAGCAGATGACATAAACGGTAATATAGTTATAGAATGTTTTGAACAATTAAAAGATATACTTTTTAAGGTTTATGGAGCATCTATTCACCAAGAAGTTTTTCCGGATCAATTAAAAATTGCTAAAATTACCTTAATTTTAAAAGAGGGAGATCAAACAAATATCAGTAATTATCGTCCTATCTCCGTCCTCTGCACATTCTCAAAAATACTAGAACGCATTATGTATAATAGATTATACAATTATCTCCTTTCTAATAATTTGTTATACGCCAACCAGTTTGGTTTTAAAAAAAATAATTCGACGGAACATGCAATTATCCAACTTGTACGTGAAATTTCAAATTCTTTTGAAAAATCTAAATTTACATTAGGTGTTTTTATCGACCTATCAAAGGCGTTCGATACTGTAGATCATGAAATTTTGATACAAAAACTGAAATACTATGGAATAAATTACAAAGTTATAAAATGGTTCCGAAGTTATTTATCTAACCGTAAACAATTTGTTTTTAGTAATAGTTGTTATCCAAATGAGTTCCTAAATGTTTCATGTGGCGTTCCCCAAGGTTCCATTTTGGGACCACTGTTGTTCTTGATTTATATAAACGACCTAAATAAAGCCTCAAATTTAATGAGTATAATGTTTGCTGATGACACCAACTTATTTCTTTCCGATAATGATATTTACAAACTCTTTTCTAGTATGAACGATGAACTTAAAAACATATCAAAATGGTTTATATGCAATAAGCTAACTCTTAACAGTAACAAAACAAAATGGATTCTCTTCCATCCAATCGCAAAAAAACCTTATTTACCCCAAAATTTACCAGAAATCTTTATTGATAATACTGTGATAAAAAGACACTATGTCACAAGGTTTTTGGGTGTTTTTCTTGATGAAAACATCACATGGAAAGCGCATATTGACTATATTAGCACAAAAATTTCTAAAAGCATTGGAATTTTATATAAATCGAGAACATATCTATGTAAAAAAGATTTAACCCAACTATACTACACATTTATTCATACCTATTTAAATTATGCAAATATTGCTTGGGGAAGCACAGAAAAAAGCAAATTAAAATGTCTTTACCGCCGTCAGAAGCATGCGATCCGTTTAATTAATTTTGCGGATCGATACACTAATTCCAAACCTTTTTTTATTGAAATGAAAATTCTTAATATTTACGAACTTAATGTGTTTAATGTTTTATGCTTTATGTATTTGTGGAAAAATGACTTATCCCTACCTATCTTTAAAGTTCTCTTTTGTGAAAAACCAATAAATAAATATACTCTTAGAAATAATAAATTTTTGCATAAACCTTTTTGTCGAACAAAGTTTAACCAGTATGGTATTGCTTATCGTGCGCCATATCTTTGGAATAAAGTTGTTTTGCCAAACTTTAATATATTTTACACTTTTCCAATTTTTAAACATAAACTCAAAAATTTAATTTTATTTTCCGATGACATAATAAGGTTCTTCTAATTGTTATTATGTACCTTTATTTAGAACTTTTTAATTGTAAAATACGTTTTATGTTAATTGTAAAATACGTTATATGTAACGACTCTTTTTGTTTTACTTTTCTTTTTGTTTTACTTTTTATATGTAACGACTCTTTTTGTTTTACTTTTTATCTTTTTGTTTTACTATTTACTTTTACTGTTTATTTTATAAATAGATTATATACATTGTAAATAATTATGCTAAATGCTTGTAAAAGGTTCTGATGATAAGATCAGTACGATCTTCTTTCAGAAACCTTGTTTGTATTTGTTAAAGTATTGTATTACGACAAATGTAAACTTAAAATGTAAAAAAAAAAAAAAAAAAAAAAAAAAAAAAAAAAAAGCTCGGCTCGTTTAATTAAACGAGCCTAATTTTTTTGTTCAAGCCCGGCTCGTTTATCATTCGAGCTGAACATGAACGAGCTCTTGTCGAGCCGATCACCGAGCCGTTCACGAACACGAGCCAGGATTTACAGCCCTAGATGCACTTGCTCTCTAACACTTTCACAGTTACTTCTGGTGGAAGTTAAAACTTTGCATTCCGCCGTTTCCGCCATTGGAACATTTCGCCAATGGAACACAGTACTGGAAAATTTCATCATGATACTAATCAATATTTTGGATGAATGTAAGCTAAGAACTTATATATAGGACTGTGCTTTAACACGACTGCAACTAATACTGGTGAATAGTCTGGCACAAACATTAGGTTCTGTCAAACACAGGATTTAACTATATTACAGCTTGCATATTGAAGACATGTTTACGAGCTTCTGTAAACATTTTTGGGAAAAGGTTCGCATTGGTAAAATTTATGCTCTTGAAAATCTGATGTTCAAAGTTTTCAAAAAATGTTTGACAAAGTTGCAGTTAAAGGAACGTATCTAGAAAAATAGATCGAACAAACTGTTAATTTTGCAAATTAGTACTTGTCAATTTAGTATTTTCAAGAGGTGATTATAAAGAACTAGTAGAACTTACACCTACTTATGTCCAGATATAAGCTTCAATGTTTATGTTTCGGGAGTAGTTTCCCATGCACGTTTTATGGCAAAGTTATATATTATCTTAAAACTCAATTTTTAAGTAATCGGTTGCCAAACCAATTGACGGCTAGTTTACAAAAAGACATCATTGGAATGTTATACTTTGTGGTTTGTGCGTTCTTCTGCTTTTTTTTAAGATATAAAAGCATACTGGCAGATGGTCTAGTATAAAAGTTGGGTAGAATCTTATGATCTAGGAGCTAATGATGTACAAGTCGGAATTAAAAGATTATTGAAATTGATAAAAAGACAAAATATTTGGATCAAACCTTGATTCGATTGTTTTAGAGATAAGAAACTGGAAGATAATGAGAAAGAAAAACACTGTTCCTACACACTATGAGAAGACTGAAAACTTCACTCAAGAAAAACTGCCTAGCTTGTCACAGTTGTTTGGTTTTTTTTTTATTTTTATTTAGGTGCCCCAACAAGTCGTTACGGACTGCTTTGAACGGGCAGTTAAGCTTGTGCTAGAGTTTGTTAATTCTGTTCACAACGACAAGTGCAGACAAGATATGTTGGACGTTTAGGAAAGTAGGGATCAAAACAGGGAGTTTGAAAATGTACAAATAACGGAGAATGGCAAAAAAAAAATAAGGTGGCTGACAAACATAATTTGGACAATATCATTTTGATTTTTCACCAAAAAACAAGAAAAATCTTTGAGCTATAGTTTTACAAACTGTTTTTGAAGAAAATTTTTTAAAACAATGATAAATCAATATATATGACGCTAATATTCATACTAAATTATTAAACATATTAGTTTAAAAAAAAAATAAAAATACAAAATCGTAACAAAATAAGATAATGACCTTTTTTTAAAATTATGAATTATTAAACGAAAAAACAAAACAAAAAAAAACACTTATTTGAAACTTGAAAATAATCTAATTTTTCAGATAAAAAAATAAAATATATAATATATTCACAATTATTTATTTTATAAAAAAAATAAACAAAAAAGAACATTGAAAATAACACTAGAATCTTTACAACTAACCATATACATCAAGTAAAAAAGTTCTAAATCATCTAAACATCCAACAATATGCAGTTCTAAATCAGGAAAACCATGCATATACTTGGGGCATTTTCGTATTTTAGAGTGATAAATTACTGCCATGAATTTTCAAAGCCACTTCTTGAAGTTCCTAACTGAACAAACCTGTCGGAGTTGAGTAGACTAAACTGATTAAATCTACCATCCATAACAGGATTATTAAGAAGTTGTTGATTATTTGACAAGGAGCTGCTTTTGAGATGTTTAATTTCTTCTTTTAATTTCGTATTCTCAATTATATGCTCATCGAGCTGCTCATTAACCCTGCATAAGTCTTGATGGATTTTCTCTCGCGCTGCCCTTTCAGCTTTAAAATCACTTTCATAGGCATCCATCTAAACAACAGTGCATATATAGAATATATATTTAACTTATAGCTCAAAAATATTTAAAATTTTTGAGTACAAACCTAATGGAAGCTTTATAAAAGTATAAGTAAGTCTTACTTGTGTTTGATAAACATGTATTGAATCGATTTCAGCACTCATTTTCTGAATTGTGATATTTAAAGCGTCCATTTGTTCTTTAAGAGTGCATATTTCATTATCTTTTTCTTGAACTTTGTTTTCAACTTGCTCTTTTACCTAAAGTAAACAATTTAACGTAAATTAATGAAATTTGATTTAAAATTATTTTAAAATCTTGTCATTTGAGATATACATTGGATTAACTCCATATAATTCTAGAATACTAGACTTAATTATTAGTGCATTATTTTTAAAGATGTGCCAGATTCAGATTAGGCCAGGTACCTGCTTCCATGCATCACACTAAAAATATTGGGTCTGGTTCTGAGTATTCAACTCTTGGTAAATTGTGTAAAGTTTTTGTAATCATGATTTGTAAATTTACTTGCACAGATATAATTAAAATTCTACATATATTTATTTTAACATGACAAAATTATGTTATATGCTTGTAGCAATTTATAATGATGGTTTACACTATTGCTTGACTTTAATTTTTGACGCTTACTTAAAAATTGAATACAAATAAACAAAATAAATTTTAAAATCAAAGAATCAATGATATTGTATATTAGTAAAGAATATTCGAATTTTTCTAAAGAACTGAAATTAACTTAAATTTCAAACAGAAATAAAATAGTATAATAATAATTAAATATAATAAAAGAAACAATCTTATAAACAACTTTTGTTTTTTTAATTGCTTTTCACCTTTTGTTTTACCTAGTAAAGGTTTAATAATTATTTATTTTTTAATTAATTACTTTGAATTCAATTAATAATCCTATTTTAGATATACAAAAATATCTTTAGTACTTTAAAAAAAAATAAAATCCTTTAACTTCATTTTTATATCTATTGAAATTAATACATATCAGTCGTTTTTCATGACATTATCATATCCCCAACATTTTAAGACATTATCTAATCAAGATGTTTAAACGTTCAACCCAATTTGTAATTATATTTCGTGACATTGGATTGCAATGATTTTATCATTGTAGTACTTAATCTACATTTCAAATTTGAAATGTTTCAACTTAAAACAAATTATTTTTATATACAATTGATAAGAAACAATGCTGAAAATAATATTTTTTTAAATAAGACTTATGTAGAAAGGTAATAGATTATTATACACTGAGCTAATTGATATATTTAAATAAAATGAGCTGACTGGATCATTTAAATACACTGAGCATAAAGTGTGTTTTTATTTTATTTTTTTAACATTTTCCCTTCAAACAAGGCTGAAAGCAACCACTATTAGAGTTGGAAGTTACTTGAAAAGAAAAGATGAAGATTGTAGAGCAACATAACGATTAACAGACAACTTAAAAGATTGCAAATTATATGAATCAGGAAAGCAAGATGAAGGAAGCGAATTCCAAAGAACTGATGTTAGAGGAACAAAACTAAACAAATAAGAGTTTTTGGAGCACTTAGGAACAGTAACAGAAAAAGGATGAGACTTAATTGAATGACGAGTAACACAAGAATGAATTTTAGTAGATGGCACAAGAGATGCTAGCTCTTTAGAGCAGTGCCCATTATAGTATTTGTGGAGAAGAGAAAGAGATGTGATAATGGTTGAAAGTTGGCTACAAGAGCAGGTCCAACTATGTTTACAATGCATTTTTGCACCTTGCCTAAAAGAGAAAGGGCATCATTAGAAGATCTGCCCCAGAAATAGCAACAGTATTCCTTACAAGGCCGGGTTTGAGATTTATAGAGAAAGAGAATAGAATCCTGAATAAGAAAGTGTCAAGCTCGATAAAGAGATCCAACCTTAGCAGATGCTAATTTTGCAACGGATTTGATATATAGTTTCCAAGAAAGATCAGAAGTAAGAGTTAATCCTAGAGGATGAAGGGTAGATGACTCATCAAGTACATTACCATTTATAAATATAGAAAGATCTAAATTATTATAATAACAATTGGCTGAGAAAGGTTGAATTTTATCTGAATTAAAGTTCACCAGCCACTGTGAGCCCCGACAAGCAATTAAAGATTGTTGGCCTTTTATTATGTCAAGAATACATGGTACTATCACCAGCTAACAACTACACCCTAGATGTGAAAATATCTGGAAGATCATTAATGTAAAATAAAAAGAGTATAGGGTCAATGATAAAACCTTGAAGAACCCCTGAAGTTACAGGATATAAAGAATACCGTCCATCTAGGACTACTATAATACTCTATACTTTGATTGGAAGAGAAAGATTCAATAATTTTAAAAATTTTACCGGACAAACCATAAGAAGAAAGCATTTGGAGAAGACCAGCATGCCAAACTTTATCAAAAGCTTTAGAAATTTCAAGAGTGATAGCCTTTACCTTTCTACCTTTATCTAATGCACGATAAAGCCTATCAGTTATTACTGTTAGCAAATCAGCTGTAGAGCCAAAAGATCAAAATCCATATTGATGATCAGAAAGTAAGTTAATAGATTCAAGATGAGAGATTAAGTGTTTGTTAATTAAAGATTCAAAACCCTTGCTTAAGATAGGAAGGAGTCTAATGGAATGGTAGATAGACAAATCAGATTGATCTACAGAATGTTTAAAAATAGGGACAGCAGATGCCGCTTTCCAGCAGGCTGGAAAACAAGACTGTGATAAAAACTTGTAAAAGAGTTTTGAAAGTATAGATGACAGCTCCGGAGAACACTTCTGCAAGACTATAACAGGTATGTTGTCTAAACCACAAGATGTAGAAGAGTCTAAGCAGGAAATCATTTTATATACAGAAGCTGGATTGATACATATGTCAAGCAATGGATCATTCTGTTTTCCAGCTATATCAGGTAGAATGCAACTAGTAGAATCAAGTGATGATATTGATGAAAAGTTCTTAGCAAACAATTCAGCTTTGTCTTGAAGTGAGGTGACAAAATCTGAACCATACAAGAAAAGTAGAATAATAGACTTGCCTTATTATTAATGCTATTAAATATTGTCCAGAAGTCATGAGAGTCTAATTTTTGTGATGAAATATGAGATTTCATGACCTGAGAATAGCGGGCTTTGGTGTTAGACAATACCTTTTTACAATGGTTTCTAGCAGTAATACAGACATCTGCTTTCTGGAGAATTGGTTTCTAGCAGTAATAACAAACATCTGCTTTCTGGAGAATTGTTTTGCTGATAGATATGGAAGTAATGGTTTTGATTGGAAATTGCAGCAGCACAAAATGAGGAAAATCATTGAGAAGAATGAGGTTTGACCTGGAATCATTGAGAGGGAATAAAAGATTCCATGCCAGCCTGAATCCACAAAGTTATGTAAGAAGCACATTTGTAAGCAAGAAGACGAAAGATTTTTATCCGATTCTAGGACGATCACAAAAAAAATCATGGAAAGAGTCCCAGTCAGTTTTAAGGTACAATGATAGGGGGATTTTGATGATAAAGAAGAATGAGGTGATAGTTTTTTAAACCGTGATCAGAAGCACCTAAAGGTAAATGTGGCAGCTGAGCACTGATTAGGATCAGAAACAAGACATAAGTCAAGTAGAGAAGGTAAATTATTCCGATTGTCTGGAAAGCGAGCTGGAAAGTTGACCATTTGAGTTAGGGATTGAGAAAGGGAAAAAATTGTAGGCTTATTTAAAGTTGTGGATTATTTAAATACACTAAGCAAATTGGTTTATTTAAATACATTATTTATTTTATTTTATTATTTATTTATTTTAATTATTTATTTAAAACTAGATTGCTTAAATACATTGAGCTAACTAGATTGTATAAATACTGGTATCAGGGCTCGAATTAACACAAAAAAATCTAATTGCAAAAAAAAATTTTTTTGGCTCCCCTCCCCTCCACCCCTCATACCTCATGCTGCTGCATTGTAATAGGGTGTGATCTAAAGAAATTAAACATAGGAGTAGTTAAATAAAGAAAGTATATAACTTATGTAAGTTTTCTTTTTTATAAAAAAAACTTAAATCATACAGAAATGTTTAACTTTAATTTTTTAAAGTAACTGTCAACTTGTGCCTTTTTCGAAATGACAGGTTCAATTGTTCTAATTAATAAGTTTGGACATTATCGTCATATTTTCATATTTTAACTTCATATTTGTGCAAAAACATGCCGATAGACCATGCAAGTCTATAATCTCTAGACCAAAGGAGTAAGATCAAAGCAAAAAAACATGAGATACCATTTAAACATTAGATAGTTTTTTATAATTTATTGTTTCTTGATCTAGCGTACAATTAAAAATTTAAGTATAATTAAGTTTTTCATTTAAATAGTTTTTAAATTGATGTTTTCATTCAATTTTTTTCTTCATTTTGTTTTTCAATAAAAAGTGAAACAAAAAAATTTGGTTTATTAAATCAAATTATATTTCTTTAAGTTTAAGAATATGTTTAAATTATTTTTTTAGAAAAAAATTTCTTTGAACAGAAGTAAAATTATTTATTAATTTTAGGTTTTTATAATTTAATTTATTATTTTAATTTTTCCAATCACTGGTTTAATGTTTGCAATAGAATGTTTCAACTTTTAAAACTATTTTCAAGAAACAGAATATAATTAACTATTCAAAATGTTGACGAAATTTACAATTTACGAAAAAAACCCTTTTTTCCTCATTCTCCAGGGCCAACAACACAGAGGGGAGGGGAAAGGGGATCCGAGGGGCACATTACTCCCCCAACCCCCCGCTTAATTCTAAAGGACCCTTTTTTTTTTTTATTTTCTTATTTTTTATTTATTTTTATTTATTTTTATTATCTTTTTTTTTATTTATTTTCTAGATATAAATAACATTTTTTAGAAATTGATGATTGTGCGCCTCACTTCGAAACCCATGTTGTCGGCCCTGTTTTCCCTTTTAAAATTTTCCAATTTTTTTTTCAATTTCAAATTTCAATAGCAAAATTATTTGAATAAGATGAATAAGAGAATTTTAAAATACTAAAATTATTTTGTTTAAATAGATTTCTTTTTAAATAAAATTCCTAAAAACAACTTGTGTATTTATAGAAAAATAGTAATCATAGTTTATTCTTGATATCGCTTTAAATAAAATAAAAAAGGTAAAAAAATGTATCACATTTTTCATATTCTATTCGACAATTTGTGTTAAAATAATTTTCA